TTTTTTATTGCAATCCAGAAGGTACAGCAGACAACAAGAAGTAGCAGATGAATGAAAAGATGGTATTTGCAGGTCAAATCATGATTATGTGTTCTCGGATGCAAGCAGATTGCATGAGGCCTAGAGACGAGCGGCCATTAACATTCCAAGAACACAGAGTGAAGCAGGAAAAAGGAAGTGCATCACTGGCTAGTGGGAGGGGACAAGATGTAAGACAGAAAAGGAAGGTGCCATAACCAAAATATCCACAAGATGGCAGTATATTAACATTGACTATAACTATGCATTGCATTATATTTTTAAGTTATGTTAAGTGTAACAGCACAGCAGGGGAAGGCTAGAAATGCTCAGATTTTTATTTCGACCTATGTCACTGTCGCCAATTTTACCCAGCTTACTGTCAGCAGAAAAGGAAGTGAGACTAAATCTCTCTAACAGAGCCCCAGACAGCATTAAAAAAAAACAATAGGAGTTCTAATCTTTCCCAACTATATTCAAAACGTTTTTTTCATTGTCATACACTTTAATTTTTAATTAATAATCTAATGAAAAAAGCACTTTAAAGAGGTAATTCTGGTGCTTTAATACATTCACAGAAATACCAAACACCCTGAGCCTTGAGGACCGTAGAACCTTAGTGTTTAATGAATTATTGCAACACATCTTAGGGTGAATCATGCAATAACGAATAGACATCGTATAGTCTCCTTCTCCACTTCACACCCAAAACGTGAAATTTACTTAAAGCTTTGTTCAAGTTTTTAAATATCATCTGCTCCTCAGCTGCAGTTAAAGATTTGTAAAATAAACATTCAGGCCCCAAAACCTTATTTACTCAAAATGCTAATCCTTATATAAAGTGCAAATACTTACTTGTAGTTATGAGAATTATAAGAGGTGCAGTTTTTGGTCCAATCTTGAAAAATCTGAGTTCTCATATTAACCTTTATTATGATCATGATTGCCAGAATCCCTACAATGGGAATAAAATGCATCAAACTAATATTCTTGCTTTAAACTTAATAACATATTCTCTCTACATAGGAGTCTCCAGAAACAGAAGAATAACAATAATTTTAAATTAGATATTGTGATATAGATAAAGTTAGTGCAAAAGCACAGAGGGATACATGCAGTTTTCATTTAAAAAAAAACTGGCATATTTCAGCAAGTGTGTTTGTATTTATAAAATTAAATTTTTAAACTTATTGTTTCATTTTGACTAGAGTTGAGAAAGGATGGAGCCTCTCTAAGGTTTTTATTGCTGTCTGTCTCCCTACTGGAGACTTTCCCTTACTACCTGTCAAGGAGGGAAGTGATCGAAATCTCTTAAAACAGGCCCACTGACAAGAACAAACACACATTTTCTGCAGAATGGGGAAGGGTAAGAACGTCTGACAATGTTTTTATTTCAGTCTGAGCCTTTTTGTTTCAGCAACCCCTATATTCCTCATTTCTTGTAAGGGGACAAGTGAAGGAAGCAAAGAAAAATCTCTCCAATAGGGTCACAGACAGAAATAAACACCTAAAAACAGTTAATTCTGCACCACTCCACTCAAATCAAAGTAAAAAAATATAGCTAAAGTTAGGCTTATACTAAAATAAAACAAATGGCTGTCAAGTTCAACATCTCACATAGGGATAGAACTAAGCATCTTTTTCTTAGTGTTTGTAGATGTTCAAAGTTTTAAGTTAACGACACCCCGAAATGTGCAATGTGCAGAATTGGATCGCATGGGTGTTCACACCCATGGGATTCGATTCTGGTGCAGACTTAAAAAGGGTCCTGCACTTTTTTGGTGCGGATGCGGTGTGATTTGAGCCATACAAAACTGTAAGGCTCAAATTGCACCGCACAGAAATCGCATGTGATTTGCACAGAAATGCAGTGCAAATCACATGCGATGTGCCAAACCGCATCAGTGTTAACCTGGGCTCACTCTCTGCAAGTAAGCCCTTAAAGGCGAAACACATCACAGGAGGCTGCCTGTAGGGATGTTACTGCTGGCTCAACAAAATTTGCTACAAGTGACAACATTGTGATTGATGTTGGTTCAGAGATAGAGGCCTATTTATTAGTAGCAATGTGCTCACCAAGAAAACTTCAGTCACTTTCTCTCCATAACTAAACAATCTGCCAGCACTATTGCTCCATTCCCTCACTATTGCTCCATTTACTCACGCATTAACTCCTTTTACTGAAGTTCCATACTCATGCATTATTACTCCTACTAAAGTAAAATACTCATGCATTAACCCCCTCCTAAAAAAGTAACAAACTCATGATATAAAGTGCTATTAAACCCACAATACAGTAAAGTCCATAAAGGTAGCATAGAATCAACCACAGTCTCGACCATGAAACATAGCCAGCTATGCCTAGAACTAAACTTAGATATCTGCAGTTGAAGAGAAACCTGTAGCATGTAAATACAATAAAATCCTTCACTTAAAACATGGAATATAAAAAACAAAACAAACAAAAGCAGCCAATAGGCCTTACACAGACAATATCCACTGATCCTGTGAGGAGGAGGAGCAATCCTGATACATATATAGAGGTAGTTCGTACACCAGTCTGGAGGCCTATGAATCCCTGAGTTCCACCCATGGTTAACGTAGAGGGACAATCCTATTATATTGCAACCTCTTACATTTGCAATAATCTAAACTTGAAAAATTGGTGAGGGGCAAGCCATGAGGTATTGAGCCAAACCTGCCAAATAAGCAAAAATTTTCGGTGAGTATTTCTGTGTTTATAGTCAGTTTCTCTAAGGAGTATAGAGTTGACCTGATCAATCCAATGTTTAATGGTATGGGCATGGGGGGACATCCAAAAATGGGCAATTTGCTTACGAGCAATATACAAAAGCCTAAGCATCATTACGTAAGCCGGAGGTTTGAAAAGCTCCTTGTCTGCAGCTCCTAATAGACACACTACTGGGTCCATGAGGACCTTAACCGTGTACACTGCAGAGATGGCATCGGTCCCCCTTCCAGTATCTAAATAATTTGGGGCAGCGCCACAGCATATGTACTAAATCACCTTCATCGCTACAACATTTGGGATACAACGGAGACTCTCTCCTGCCCCAACGGTGCAGCTGCCTCGGGGTACAATAGGCTCAGTGCAATATGAACAGTTGAGACAACTTACAGTATATGATGGTGAAACAGATAAATGGAATACAGATTGTAAACACTTTCCCAAAATCTCACTCCCAAAGTCTCCCAGATCTGCCTCTTATTTACGTCTACATGGTAATTTGGCACTATCTTGTATACTGGAAGCTAGCATAGAAGAAATCATACTCTTACGGCTTTCTGACATGATGTCTCACAAAAATGGATGATCAGTCAGAATTAAGTGACGGGCTTGGGCTTGTAAGGCATGTCGTAGTTGGAGAAAGCTATAGAACTCCTGCCTGGGTAAGGCAAATTCCTTTTTTAGGTCAGTTGTAAGATATAACGGATGCCTGCTTCCTCCCATGACTGAAAACCCTCCAAAATATGAATTTTCCTATAATTAGGTTTATACAATAACTGTGTATCCTGTAGGAAACCCTGCAGGCCTATATTGGATTGAACCGTGGACCATGGCTTCTTCAATAGGATCAAGGTGTGGACATCCACAGGGACATATGTAAACCCTGCCTCCAGGTGGGACAAGGCTGTTTGCTCAGGGGACCCTGGAATCAGTAATTTACTAATCGGGTCAGAATGATCTAACAATCCCCAACCCCTCAGATGTTGGAGCTGCGAGGCTAGGAAGTAAAGTCTGGTTTTAGGCGCTGCCAATCCCCCTGGTCTTTATTATATTGGAGTGTCAATAAACGTATCCTAGCAGGTTTTTTCTTCCAGATTAAATCTCTAATTAGGGTTTCAATATGATTAAACCACCTATGAAAAATATATAATGGTTGTGGAGCCCACACCATTTTGATTAAGTTCACCCCTCCTACCACCAACAGCAGGAGTTTACACTAAGAATTACATTTAGCCTGAAATTGTTGGAGTAAAGGGAGTAAATTCAATTCCAAACACCTAGATAGGGTGAGTGTTTTAGCAACCATAGAAGTCCAAGAATGATGGGACTTGAGGACTTAGGAAGGATCAGGAAGGAGATTTCCTCACAATGAAGAACATCCATATGCATAGTTATGCAGTTAGTTTGGAAGCGTAGGGTCCTAAGGCCAAGATAGAGCCATCGACTGCAGATACTGACAGGGGTGTCATCAAGGGGACAAGAGGAATGACCAATTCAGCGGCCAATGATTGCTCGATGAAATTCCCGGCTGCCCCAGAGTCCACATAAGCAGAAACCTGATACGAGTTCAGGGCCCAATGGATGGAGACAGGTATAATAAATCGAGGGAAGGTGGCGGAGTTCGGGTTCTGGTCTAGATCACCACCCTCAGAGTGACCTAGACCCGAGATTTTCCTGGACGGACCGAACAAGACTTAATTACATGACCTTCAGCCTCACAGTAAAGGCATAGATCAAGTCTTAGGCAACATGATCGCTCTTGTGGAGTGAGGCGTGTTCGGCCTAACTGCATAGGTTCTTCGGATGTTGGTACAGTTGCAGAGATGGATCGATCAGGGGATTTTTGGAAAACAGGAGCTAACGAACCCACTTGGGGGTGACATGGACCAGACCTTTCCAGATCTCGCTCCTGGAAGTGAACATGGATTTGGATGCTAAGGGCAATCAAGTCATCCAGGGTGGTGGGTATGGTTCTTCCAGCCAGTTCGTCCTTAATACAGTCCGCTAGACCCTGCCAGAAGGTTGAAGAAAGGGCCTCATTATTCCATGCCAGTTCCAAAGCTATGGTGCGAAACTGAACTGCATACTGACCAACAGTCACGCTACCTTGACGAAGCTGAAGAAGGGCTCCTGCAGCAGATGAAGTCCTGCCAGGCACATCGAAGGTTTTATGGCAAGCTTGCTGGAAGGCTGGGAGACTGGAAATAGCAGGCTCTTGAAGCTCCCATAGTGGCGAGGCCCAAGCAAGTGCTTCACCAGAAAGCAGGGAAATCATGTATGTGTCAGGAATGGACTCAGCACTGGTGGTGGGACTCACCTGCCGTGTGGGCTGTCGTGCCAGATGACTCGGTGCCTGCTGTCATGCCAGATGACTCAGTGCCCGCTGTCGTGCCAGATGACTCGGTGCCCGCTGTCGTGCCAGATGACTCGGTGCCCGCTGTTGAGCTTGGTGACCTAGTGCCCGCTGTTCTGCCAGATGACTCGGTGCCCGCTGTAGTGCCAGTTGACTCGGTGCCCGCTGTCGTGCCAGATGACTCGGTGCCCGCTGTCGTGCCAGATGACTCGGTGCCCACTGTTGAGCTTGGTGACCCAGTGCCCACTGTTCTGCCAGATGACTCGGTGCCCGCTGACTTGCCAGATGACTCGGTGCCCGCTGTCGTGCCAGATGACTCGTGCCCGCGGTTCTGCCAGATAACTCAGTGCCCGCTGTCGTGCCAGATGACTCAGTGCCCGCTGTCGTGCCAGGTGACTCGGTGCCCGCTGTTCTGCCAGATGACTCATTGCCCGCTGTTCTGCCAGATGACTCGTTGCCCACTGTTCTGCCAGATGACTTGTTGCCCGCTGTTGAGCTTGGTGACCCGGTGCCCGCTGTCGTGCCAGATGACTCATTGCCCGCTATCGTGCCAGATGACTCGTGCCCTCTGTTCTGCCAGATGACTCGGTGCCCGCTGTTCTGCCAGATGACTCGGTGCCCACTGTCGTGCCAGATGACTTGGTGCCCGCTGTCGTGCCAGATGACTCGGTACCCACTGTCGAGCTTGGTGACCCGGTGCCCGCTGTCGTGCCAGATGACTCGGTGCCTGCTGTCGTGCCAGTTGAATCAATGCCCGCTGTCGAGCTTGGTAACCTGGTGCCCGTGGTTCTGCTAGATGGCTCGGTGTCTGCTGTCGTGCCAGATGACTCGGTGCCCACTGACTTGCCAGATGACTCGGTGCCCGCTGTCGAGCTTGGTGACACGGTGCCCGCTGTCGTGCCAGATGACTCGGTGCCCGCTGTCGTGCCAGATGACTCGGTGCCCGCTGTTGAGCTTGGTAACCCGGTGCCCGTGGTTCTGCTAGATGGCTCGGCGTCTGCTGTCGTGCCAGATGACTCGGTGCCCGCTGACTTGACAGATGACTCGGTGCCCGCTGTCGTGCCAGATGACTCGGTGCCCGCTGTCGTGCCAGATGACTCGGTGCCCGCTGTTGTGCCAGATGACTCGGTGCCCGCTGTCGTGCCTCTGTCCGCTGCCCAGCCTGACGTGCCTCTGTCCACTGCCCAGCTTGACGTGCCAGCCACTGATGTCCAGCTAAACTGGCCAATAACTGGTTCCCAGCCTGCTCCTGGAGATCCTGTGTCCAGTAACCTGCCTTCCTGGGTTCTCCTACACAAAGAGAAGTCTACCAGCAGGAAACCCAGCCAGCCGGTTGACTCCGGCAGTAGGATATTCAGCCAGTTACGTGACCCGGGCGGTGGAACATTTTGCTCACTTAGGACTGTTTGGAGCATCCTGAGGCCGCTCCTTGAGGAGGGGGTACTGTCAGGAATGGACTCAGCACTGGTGGTGGGACTCACCTGCCGTGTGGGCTGAAGTACCAGGGCTGACCAGCGGGTGCTCTCAGCAACCAGAAGCTCACTCCTGCAGTCAGCCATCAGCTGAAGCTGATTGCAAGAGGTGTATTTAAGTAGGACCAGGCCTGTGATCAGGGCCTTGGTGTATGTTTCCCATGAGCCCCTGTACCTAGTATCCTGTGTTCCTGCCTAGTTGCTGACCCTGCTTTGATCCTGACTTCTGCTGACCGTCTCCTGTTGAACCCCTGGCTTGCCTGACCATCCTTCTGCCTGATCCTCTGTACCGTGCTGCCCGTGAGTTACTGAACCCGGCTTGTGACCCTGACTATTCTCTGCCTGCTCCTCCGGTACCTCACTGCCCGCACGTTGCTGACCTGGCCTGCCTGACTACGCCTGACACTACCCAGACGATCCATCCATCCCGCACGGATCCAGTCACTACTGTCCAAACCTGCCAGCCTCTTCACATCAGGCTTTCCCTCGATACATACCCTCGGCGGACCCCTCTACCACAGTTGGGTGCGCTCAGAGGCCGCGACCTGGTCTCAGTCCTGTGCCAAGTCCATCCCCACCATCAGGGGCTCTGGTGAAAAGGCAGACTGGGGCTTAGACTCCGCGCCCTGGGGAATTCTGTTCTGTGGGTCACTAGAGATCCCGCCGGGCGGTGCCTGACCATTCCACCTCTCCAGCCTGACTACGCCTGTGTTCCTGAAGCCTGCTACTTCCCTGTGTCAGTCCACACATTTCTGGTCATACCCGGATCCCTAACAGTATGCCACCTTGGAACGGTCAGTAGGAAAATGGTCGGCTGCTAGTTCAAAGTGAATTGAGCTCTGATTGATGAAGCCCCGACAAGCTTTGGGATCACCAGAGAAGTGATGCGGTGGAGGCAGCTGGAGTTTCGAAGGACTGTGTTCCACTGGGGGAACAGCGGGGGTTGGAGCAGCAGGAACGGGAACAGGAACCGGGACAGTAGCCGAAACAGAAGGTGAGGAAGTGGACACAACCTGCAGCTGATCCAACTGGGAATAGAGTTCCTGCAGACAGTGTATAATTTGTTCTTGATAGGCCTGCTGGACATCGACTCTCTGCGCCAAACACTGAAGTTGTTCCAGGAGAGGCTGCGGTGTCTCCGAGGAGCTCATGGCCTGAGCAAACTGTCAAGCACCTGTGCTAGTGAGCCCTTGTAGATAGTCAACTTGGGGTTCCCCAGGGCGCACAGTCTAAGCCCCAGCCTGCTTCTTCACCAGAGCCCCTGATAGTGGGGATGGACTTGAAGCAAGCTGGGACCAGGTCGCGGCCCCCAGGTATGCCCAGCTGAGGATGTGGAGACCACTCGAGGGAGCAGAGTACAATGGGAGGAGACAAACGGAATTCCAATAGACTAGCCGAGGTTAGGACGGGCGGAAAACAAGCACAGTCAGTGAACAAAGCCAGGGTCAGTAAACGAGTAGTCAAATGCAGGATACAGGACTTAGCAACATACAGTAGCTCAGACAACTAAGAAGTTGCTCAGACAAAGTGGACTAGACTAAGCATGTCTTATATAGGCAGGCAAACAAGGAGGCGGGTCAGGAAGTGTTGGAAGGGAAGGAAATAAAACCCAGAGAACAGCAGACGACGCCCATAGGTGAGCACAGACAAACCACACGTGTGAAAGGGATCAGGAACAGCACTGCATCAAGGAGGTAAGAGTACACAAACAAGAAACTGCAGGATAACTTGTCAAACACACACACACTTAAAAGCATGCCATCCAGTGGCTAAAAAGCAAAACTACATCACATCAATTTAATTTAAATTAGGCAAGACCAAGAGATAGAGCAAATCTGCATACTAATGAAAAAAATACATTAAAAAAGATGAAAGATGAAATTACATACACAGAAAACAGAATATATTTTTTTAAAGAGAGAAAGACAGTTTCTTTTAAAGGTGACACTAGTTATTAATAAAACAATGTATATCCCACTCAATTTGTAAACTGAATAGGTTATATGTTTTCATATTGTAAATCAATTTAGTTAATATCTCCCTCCTAAAATTACTCCCTCTCCAATGACAGAAAAACCTGTCTGTTCCTAGGACCTTCAATCCTGTTGCAGCCTTATTATGTGTAACTGCAAATGTCTAGACAAGCAATGCCCCTTAAATCCTTTGCGTATATTCATAATATGTTTGCCTAACCTGGTTTCCAGATTTTGGACTGTCCTTCTGATATATTGCAGCCCACACGGGCACTGCAATAAATAAACTATAATTTGTGTGGAACATGTAATAAAGTCCCGAATCAAGGGAGTACACCCAGTAGTTTTTGAAATGCAAGATTTAAATTTCACTGCATTGGTGTCACAAGTTAGCCTTCAGTTTCTTTCCTGTGTATTCTTGCCTCCTTGCTGCAGTGCTTTTCCTGCCCTGATTTCTTTCACATATGTGGTTTGGCTGTGCTTACCTATTAATATTGCCTGCTATTCTATGGGCTTTATTTCCTTCCCTTCCATCACTTCCTGGCCTGCCTCCTAGTTTGCTTGCTTATATAAGACATGCTAAGTCTAGCGCACATTGCCTGAGCAACTTCACAGTTCTCTGAGCTCCCAGTCATTTGCTACTTGTGTATCCTGTGGCTGACTACCCATGTACCGATCCCAGTTTTGTCCACCTTCTGTGCTTGATTGCCACTCGTCCTGACCTTGTCTACTGGATTTCCTGTAGTCTCCTGCTGTTGTACTCTGCTCATGCATGTGGTCTCCGCATCCTCAGCTGGGCATACCTGGAAGCCAGGACCTGGTTCCAGCTTCCTGCAAGTCCATCCCCACCATCAGGGGTCCTTATCAAGTTTCTTGATATCAAGTGAGGAACAGAAGTATTTGAACACCCTGCGATTTTGCAAGTTCTCCCAAATAGAAATCATGGAGGGGTCTGAAATTCACATTGTAGGTGCATCCCCACTCTGAAAGACAGAATTTAAAAACAAAATTCAGTAAATCACATTGTATGATTTTTAAAGAATTTATTTGTCTTGCACTGCTGAACATAAGTATTTGAACACCTAAGAAACAGCAAGAATTCTGGCTCTCAAAGACCTGTTACTGTGCCTTTAAAAAGTCCACCTCTACTACACTCATTAATCTAACTTAGTAGCACCTGTCTGAGCTCTTTAGCCACTTGACCTCAAGAGGATTTACCCCCCTTAACCAATTCAATACCGGACAATTTTACACCTTCCTGCCCAGGCCAGTTTTCAGGTTTCACTGCTCTCACACTTTGAATGACAATTGCGCGGTCATACAACATTGTACCCAAACTAAAATTTTATCATTTTCTGAATTTTGTCAATTTTGTTTCTCAATTTTGAAAAAAAAAAGTTTTCTTTGTTTCTGTTTATAAACGTTTGCAAATAAATAAATCATAATAAATTATAAGTTATCATAAATTTAGGCCGAGGTGTATTCTGCTACATGTCTTTGGTGAAAATAACCCAAATTAGGATGTATTTTTTAGTCTGTAGGAAAGTTATAGAGTTCACAAACTATGGTATAGATCTGAATATTGATCAATCCTGAAGTACTGACAGCCAATCTCATTTCTTGAGGTCCAAGAATGTCAGAACAGTACAGATATCCTCCAAATGACCCCTTTTTGCAGAGTAGACAGTCCAACGTACTTTATAAGAGGCATGGCGAGTTTTTTGAAGTTGTATTTTTTTTTGTCATAATTTTTCGGAAAATTAAAAAATTAAAAAAATTAGTTTCACTATTTTTTTTTACATATTGTCACCAGTGCAGTACAGCATCATCATATAACTGGCATGGTGGTGATCAGGGAAACTGACTGGTGACAGTATAAAAAAAAAAATTATATATATTTTTTTTTTTTTTATTATTTTTTTTTTTTTATTAATTTTTTTTTTTTTTTTAAGATTTTTTTCATATTTCACTATGACCAAAGTAGTACAATGTTACCATAGTAACATTGTACTACTTTGGGGAAGTGATCAGTATTTTTTTTTTACACAAGTTGCTTATAGCAAAGAATTACTTTGCTATAAGCAAGCATTTACCTGAATGACATCGATTCATTCAGGGTTTTTTTTTTTTTTGTGCTTAGCTGTGATTTGGCCATAGCTAATCACATGACATGTGCATGTGATTAGCTGTGACCATTCACAGCTAAGCAGAAGTATGCAATGGATGGCATGAATGAAGCCATCCATTGTATACAACTGTCATGTGACCTGCTGTGATTGGTCACAGCAGGTCACATGGTACTGGCAACGGGGCCGATACTCAGATCTGTCATCGGCCGGTGACAGATCACGCCGCTGCGCCGCTCTGCAGGAGCGCAATCTGCACATGTGCGGGAGGACGCCATATGGCGTCCACCCGGAACGCTGATGACATTTGCCGCCCGCCATTCGGCCATAGGGCGGGCAGCAAATGGTTAATGACCAGGCCTCTTTTGCCTACTCGGCGCTGCACTAATTCAACTGATAATTGCGCGGTCATGCAATGCTGCACCCAAACAAAATTTACGTCCTTTTTTTCACACAAATAGAGCTTTCTTTTGGTGGTATTTGATCACCTGTGCGCTTTTTATTTTTCAAGCTATAAACAAAAAAAAGGCCAAAAATTTTTGAAGAGAAAAACAAAAATTTTTTAATTTCAGCTATAAAAAATATATAGTAAACTCAAAGTTAGTTATAAATTTAGGCCAAAATGTATTCTGCTACATGTTTTTGGTAAAAAAAATCCCAATAAGTGTATATTGATTGCTTTTTGTGAAAGTTATAGCGTCTACAAACTATGGTATAGATACTGCAATTTACGCCATTTTTGTGCTATACAGCACTGCACTAGTTTAATAAACAATTGTGCGGTCAGCCAAATGGTACATAAATGAAATTTACATCCTTTTTTTTCCCACAAATTGAGCTTTCTTTTCGGTGGTATTTGATCGCCTGCACCGTTTTTATTTTTTTTGCGCTATAAAAAAAAGACTGACAATTTTGAGGAAAAAAAACAATATTTTGGACTTTTTGCTATAAAACATGTCCAGTAAAAAAAAAATTAAAAATCAAATTTAGTCATAAATTTCTGCCAAAATGCATTCTGCGACATGTCTTTGCTAAAAAAAAAAAAACCCAATACGTGTAAATTAATTGGTTTATGTGAAAGTTATAGCGTTTACAAATAGCGGGAAAGATACTGTGATTTTTAGGTTTTTTTTTATACCAATAATGGCGGGGATCAGCGACTTATGGCGGCGATCAGTGACTTATGGCGGTGATCAGCGACTTATGGCGGGACTGCAGCGGACATTCTGACATTGGGGGGTACTGACTTGGGGTCACTGACATCCCCAGTGACACCAATACAGTGATCAGTGCAAAAAAAAAACACTGACACTGTACTAATGGCACTGGGGAGGAAGGGGTTAAGTTTATTATTCAGGGAAAGGGATAACTGTGTGAGGGGAGTGTTTTACTAGGGAGCAGGGTGTGTACTGCAGGGAACACCGCTGATCGGGAGAGAGAAACTCTTCTGTCCTGTTCAGCGTGTCCTGGAGCTGTCAGGGAAATGACAGAAAGCACAGCTACTGCAGCTGTGCTCTCTGTCAGTGATTGCCGCCGATCGCCGGGACATAGCCGGTAACGACTGGCTGTGACCCGGCGACTGACATCCGCAGCTGTGATCGGCGGGACAGGTAGGGCGGCAGCGCGCCTCGCGCATGCCCCCTACCTGTTTTAAAAACACACATTTTATAACATGGTTTTGCCCAGCCATGCCGCCATGCCGCCCTGCCACCGTATTTCTACAGTGGCTGGGCGGCATATGGTTAAAGACACCTGTCCACCCCACAGTCAGTCAGACACCAACTACTACCATGGGCAAGACCAAAGAGCTGTCAAAAGACACCAGAGACAAAATTGTGGACCTCCACAAGGCTGGAAAGGGCTACAGGGCAATTGCCAAGCAGCTTGGTGAAAATAGATCAATTGTTAGAGCAATTGTTAGAAAATGGAAAGTCGTTCAAAGACGACTGTCAGTCTACCTCGGACTGGGGCTCCATGCAAGTTCTCACCTTGTGGGGTATCACTGATGATAAGAAAGATGAGGAATCAGCCCAGAACTACAAGGAAGGAGCTGGTCAATGACATGAAGAGAGCTGGGACCACAGTTTCAAAAGTCACTGTCGGTAGAACACTACGCCGTCATGGTTTCAAATCATGCATTGCACGGAAGGTTCCCCTGCTCAAGTCATCACATGTCCAGGCCCATCTGAAGTTTGCCAATGACCATCTGGATGATCCAGAGGAGGCATGGGAGAAAGTTATGTGGTCAGATGAGACCAAAGTAGAACTTTTTGGTCTAAACTTCACTCGTCGTGTTTGGAGGAAAAAGAAGGATGAGTGTTGCATCCCAAGAACACCATCCCTACTGTAAAGCATGGGGGTGGTAACATCATGCTTTGGGGTGCTTTTCTGCGAAGGGGACAGGACGACTGCACTGTATTTAGGAGAGGATGAATGGGCCCATTTATTGTGAGATTTTTGAGCAACAACCTCCTTCTCTCAGTCAGAGCATTGAAGATGGGTCGTGGCTGGGTCTTCCAACATGACAACGACCCGAAGCACACAGCCAGGATAACCAAGGAGTGGCTCCGTAAGAAGCATATCAAGGTTCTGGAGTGGCCTAGCCAGTCTCCAGACCTAAATCCAATAGAACATCTT